TCTGGAAAAAATGGCAGCTTTGGACAGCGTTTTTCCAGGAAATTACTCCTGGAAATCAACTTTGAACGCGCCAATAGTAAAAAAAAATCCCAAGATGTAATGTTTTTTCAGCATGCCAATCCTTATCAATATTTTCCCAGCCAAGAGACTACATGGATTGCGGATCTTTATACACTTATCGAGAATCAACGAGAATCTGGATATCACTACAACAGCTTGCTGGATCTTCTGGATGAGGCCGTTCCTGGAGTTGGTCCGTCTGCACCAATTGAATACCGCTGGAGGAATAACACATTTCTCCTTGCATAATAATTTGCTTTAAATTAAAAGTATTACCCGATTTAGCGCTCCCATTCTAGCCGTTGGTTAGCCCGATTTTTCTTTATAAGACTTTCGATTTCCAATATACAGTAACAGTTCCCACGTTGTTTTAGTCGATTTTCATCTTGTTTTTCTCTATTTAATTGTCTAAAATTCCTGATTTAATGTAGTTTAAATAATTGTATCACTCCCTGTTGTGGCCTCTAGATTATTTATTATATGATAAGCTTGAAATATCACAGTGCTTTAATTTTTTAAATTCCACATCTTGCGATTCGAATTATTTTCTACCCTTAAAAACCGGTGTTTTCCCCCATAATATTCCAGTGTAAAATATTCTATATGTTTTTTCTCTCGAATACTTTTGATAATACATGAGCTTTAATAATTGTTATCCCCCCGTGTCCATACAGGTTTACATGTTAATGATTTGTCTTCCAATTTCTTCCCAAATTATTTATATGTATTATAGAAATTCATACTTTATCTGTATTCAAAAACTAGAAACACATCTACACAGAGAATCGCTAGTGGTCTTATAATTATAGTGGCACTTAAGGTGCACTGTGGCTCCCCACAGCCTCCTCTCAACTAGTCAGTGCTCAGAAAGTCTCTTTTTCTACTTAAATTGAAATCTAGAGGCGAGAACAGACGTTCCTGACTATGCATTCGTTACTTGAGTCGTTACGCAGAGAATGTCGACGAGACTGAAAAAAAACGCGAAATCTAGATTCAAATCCATGTATATTATTTTACCGCCGTGTTCCTGAAATGCTTAAAAAATATAGAAAAAAGTTAACCATACCACAAATTTATTCGAGCGGGAAAAAATAAAAAAAAATTTAATTTTTAATAAGCATCCTCAATGGATCTCTGCATTCGAAGCTCCTCTTCACGAACGGCTCCACCTCCTCCGGTGTAATGACACTTTCATACTTCTCGCGAAACTTGATATTCGTCTCCAATCGAACAGCAGCCAACTTCTCCGGCGTGTACGTCCATTCTCTCTTCTGTGTGTTCGCCGGATGCAAAATGGGCATGGTTGTCCTCGGGATTGTCAATGCACACACCAATGCAGAGTCTGGAACAGGTTTAGTAAATTTGGAAAATACGAATCAGTTTTGCTTCACTTGCGGAACTATTCAGTTTCAGATCAAATGAGAAGGTCAAAAACAGTTTTTTTCAAAGATGGAAGAGTTTCTAAACTTCTTTCACATAATTTTCCAAAAACTGAACTAGAAAATCAATCGATTTGCGCTTTTTGATGGGTTTTGTTTGAAAACTCGAAAAAAATACTCCCATACTTATCGACGGGTTGATTCATTTATCGGCTGATAACACGCTTCAAAATTGAAGTAGTGAGCAAAACATCAGACCGGATGACAGAGCTCGAAAAGCTTCACAACCTTCAATAAGAATCGATCGATTTCAAAAGCGGTGGGCCAACGATTTTGCCCGGTCCAATTTCAATTCTGGTCGATTGTTATTGAGGTTCTAGAGCTCGCATAGCATACATCTTTCCGTATTTATCTTTAATTACCAATGACCCAGAAATGAGTTTTTGCCTTTTTTTTAGAGTCATTTCTTTGATTTAAACTTAATTTTCCAGTCAAAAATGACCTACCTCTTCTTCTTCTGCTTCTGCACCATCGCCTTATTCTTCAGCGCGCAATCTCCCATCTTCATCTTATTCATCTCCTTATCAGTGGTCGAATTTCACCAGTTTGCTCCTCACGTCCTCGCCGATCGGTGAAGTAGAACTTCAAGCGGAAACTGAAAAATTGATATTTTATAGTTGTTAACTAAAAATGAAAAGGTAAAAGAGCCGAAAACTCGTGAGCTAATCCTAAAATAGAAGCCCACCGAAACCGTTTTCTTTGAGCTCATATATCTTGATTTCTGTAGAAGATAAAAAAATCTGTCAACTTATAAAATATTGGTGAGATTGTGATGAACATGTTATCAGTTAACACATTTTTTGATATCTATTTTAGAAATGGAGATAATTGAGCTCAAAGTTAATAAGTTCAGCGGGCTGCTATAAGAGTAAGCATGGTCAGTAAGTTTGAAAATGGAACCCATCACAAATCCTAAAAGAGCTGGTTTTTGGGAAATCGAACGATAAATATTACTATATTCGTTTTGTTTTCAGTAATTTTCTTGTCGATTTTGGGAAAAAGATTTCTTACCTTTTAAAAGTTTGTCCGCCATAATTAGATGGTTACATAGTAAATAATATTCAGAAAAATAAAAGGAAGAATACCAAAATCAAGAGACAGAAAAACAGATATCCGTCATCAACATGTATATGAAATGAGAAGTCCGCGAGAATGATGGAGGGAGAAGAGAGATTGTGGAGACGCAGACGGTGAGAGAAATCGATAGTGGACTCGGAGAATGACATCATCGCTCCCATCGCCTGTTTTCAACACACGGAAAAAGTTGATTGCAACGTCACCAGCCGGCAGACATTCTCATTGACCTCTGTACTTTGGACAGAGGGCCAAACGGAACACGACAACGTGCTCACACACTCCCCCTACCTTCCCTTTGTATTCGTTTCTACATTACGCGCGCGGATGGTCCGTTCTCTGTGTCCCGTCCGGAGAGAAGTGAGCTCTTTGTATCAGAATTCAGCTGTTATGTCAAAAGGAGTGACACGGCGAAAAGGGCAAAAGGCAAAAAGCGGAATCTATCTGATTGGACTAGTTATGTTTAGCGACAAGACGGCAAGAAGTGTGATTCTCGTTTTCAGACGGAGAGACCGAAGAAGCTATTCTAGTATCGAACAAACAACTTTTTATGGTTTAGGTTCTTGAAAACATCCTGAAACTTTTGCAATGTGATTCACAGTGTTAATTATAAAAAGTTCATATTTTCTAAAAATGATTACAATTCAAAAATAAAAAAGAACATTTAAAAAAAAGCGGCCTCGCATTGATCCCCACGATGTTTCACCAGTGACTTCTGGTATTGCTGTACTTCTTTCGTGGATGCTGCTTGCAATCACACCCATAAAGTTGCAGCTCGAACGGCTTCAGAAGCTCCGCGATTTTCGATCCATCCAATTTCAGCTCCTCTTCTGACAGCATACTCTTCTCCTCATCTGTCCTTTTCTGCATCCTCTCCTCCAGAGCCCATCGATCCAGAATCTCCTTCACCTCCTTGAAAAACACCACCTCTTTGACATCTCTGGTAGATTTGGTCCTCACCCAGGTGATAGTTGCGCATCTGGAAGAGATATATTGTATTCAAGATGTATTTTTTCAAAGAATCGTTTGAAACTACAAAACCATAACAGAATCTTTCAAAAGTAATATCTTGGAAGAGCCAATTTTTTGGAGAATCTAGGTCGATGGCTTTATTTTTTGGCCATTTTCAGTCGAAATTTAAATAATAAATGGATTACTTACCTTTTAAAAACTTTTCCGACATAATTAAATGGTTAAATAGTAAATAATCTTCAGAAAAAATCAAAGGAAAAATCCCAAAATTCAGAGACAGAAAGAAAATCAGATATCCGTCATCAAAAAGCGTATGAAATAAAAATAAATACGTATGACCGCAAGGGTGATGGAGAGAGAGCGAGTGTTGGGAGAGACGCAGAAGGTAGAAGCAATCGATAGAGGACAGTGAGAATGACATCATCGCTTGTTTTGACTCCACGGAAAGAGATGGTTGAAGCGTCACCAGCCGGCAGACATCCTTAATCAGAGAGCTGACCCTTATATCTCGGACAGAGGGCATAACGGACCTCGGAAATGTGAAAACGCTCTTGTACTCCCCTCCCAACCCTTTGTATTTGCTTCTATCTTACGCGTGCAGATGGTCCGTTCTCTCTGTGCCGTCCGGAGGGAAGTGAGCCCGTTGTATCAGAATTGAGGTGTTATGTCAGCACAAGGCAAAGAGAACAAAAGGCGAAAAGTGAATATCTGATCGGACCAGTTATGTTCGGGGACAAGACGGCATGAAGTGGGTTTCTGGTTTTCAGACAGAGAGACAGAAGACGCTATTCTTATATATAATGAGAAAAAGCTTTTCATGTTTCAAGTTCCCGAACCTGAAAATGTTGTGAAATGATTCAGAGTGATAATTATAAAAGGTTCATATTTTCAAAAAAAAAATTACAAAACATGGAAGGAGCTGGAAATATCAGAAACGGCAAGGGTAGACAAAAACAAAAAAAAAGGCGGGGACAAAGATTAAATATACAGTAAAACCTGTAATAGAAGAGCCTCCTAACTTTTAACTTTGAGCCAGTTTGTCTCGGTTACTGTAAGAGATATCAAAACGTTGTTGACTGATAAAATGTTTGTGATATTATGATAAGCAATTTATCAGTTGATCATTTTTAGAAATCTTTCACAGTAACCGAGATAATTTGGCTGAAAGTTAGAGAGTTCAATGTTAAGAAACTTAGTGTTGAGAAACTTAAATATTGTAAAACCTCAAAAAAGGGTCATCTAGCGTCTAACTTTGAACCAATTTATATCAGTTCCTGTGACAGATATCAAAAAGTGGTCAACTGATCAATTGTTTATCAATATTAGCAACGTTTTATCAGTTAACCACTTTTTGATATCTTTTACAGAAAGTGAGATAAATAGGATTAAGGTCAGCAAAGCTTCCCTGTCGCCCCTCTCTTTTTGGAGGTGGAAGTAAGGAACCAATTTAGCTCGATTTCTGTAAAAGATTCAAAAAAGTTGTCAACTGATCAATTGTCTATCATAATATTACAAACGTTTTATCAGTTGACAACTTTTTTCTATCTTTGATGAAAACCGAGATAATTGAGCTCAAACTTGACAGTGTGGGAGCCAGTCTATTACAATGATTAAATATACCGTAAAACCTCTAATAGAAGAGCCTCCTAATTTTTAAAATGTTTGTGATATTATGATAAGCAATTTATCAGTTGATCATTTTTTGAAATCTTTCACAGTAACCGAGATAATTTGGCTGAAAGTTAGAGGGTTCAATGTTGAGGAACTCAATGTTAACCAGGAACTATCTTTGATACCGAGATAATTGAGCTTAAACTTGACAGTGTGTAGGCCAGTCTATTACAAAAATGAGAAAATATGAAAAAATGAAGAATTGAGGAAAACCTAATTATTCAAAAATTCTTGTGTACTCCATTTCTCAGTGCATCTTGATCCATCCCTCGTCTGCCTGCTTATGTCGAAGCTTCAGAAGTTTGGAGCAGTTGTTGGACCACATGTTCTTAGCTTTTGGAGGCATCTGCTGCCAGAGAGCGTCTGAACAATGCGTATTGTTAACAAATTTCGAAGAGTAGTCACAAAACTTGGGATACTATAAAGTCGGATCCCGCTTTGGTTAATTTCTAGTTGAAAAAAAAGGAATACCCACCTGATTCAAATTTTTTCGCAATAGATATTGGAATACATAGTTGTTAATTAATAGAATATTCAGAAAAAAATAAGATTTCCAGAGAGGCCGAAAAAATCAGATATCAGCCATCAGAATGCGTATTGAATGAGGAACCGGAGAGGGAGAGAGAGAGAGATGGGGAGAGAGAGAGAGAAGAAAATTAGAAATTCAAATGTTTTGTCTTCTGTTCCTCTGTGGTTCTACCTAACTCGCTCGCGCAAATTGGTCCCGTCCCTGTGTTTCTCTCCCCCATTGATCTGCCCACTATCTGTTGCTCACTTTTGTGTGTCTCTCGTCGACAGACGTCCTCACCAGTCAACTGACCTCAGAAAATCTATACCAAAGGCGTAACAAACCGTAAGAAGGCGTAACAAAACATTTGCTCCTCTATTTTCTCTTCTTCTACTGGTTACAATTTTCCTGTGTCAAATATCTAAATTATCCCGTTTTCCCTACCCTACTCAGATCGGCCTCGTGAGGAGCATTTTCTGAGTCTTTCATATCTTGCCCTCTAATGTTATATTACACCTGATCAATAAACAAATTACAAATTACACGACCATGTGTTGTCATCGCTCTTGCTCTTCCCCTCCGTGATTCCAACTTATGCACGGGTATTATGGTTCCTTCTCCGTCTCTCTCACTTGCCCACTCTCCTCCCCCCGGATATCATTCGTACTTGTTTTGTCCGTACCGTCTGGTGACCTCTGTTTTGCTCTCTTCGTTTGTTGTCTCGCGGTGTTTATTGATCGCAATTCAGGTTTTCTTTGTGAACTCATTGAAATACCAGAATTCAAAAACACCGCTTGGCTCCTGTTACTGACCTAATGTTCCAAACATCTAGGATGAGCAGTCGAGCAATTCGTATTCCGTAGAATATTTGAAAAAAAACCCCCAATTAGTTTCTCAAAACTTTCGCAATTACTAGTAAGACGGCACTACTCCCTTGAAAACACTGAAAACTGATCTGAGAGCGTCAGTTCTTGCCTTGGTCTAGTTTCGTTCACGAATTCACGCTTATCGATCGGCTCCGACCAGTTTTCTTGGGTGACATATGTTTCAGAACGAGGGTTCTTGAATATAGGATATCAAGGTGTCCTTGTGAATATTACATGTGATGGCGTGATGTCACTGCTCAAGCGGGATAGATTCAACTTGCGACACAGATTTTTTGCTGCTCGGACTCGAGCATCTTACACTAAGGTGAGTTGTTTTCACATATTTGAGAATCCAAGCTAAATTGGAGCGTTTCAGGTACTTCACCACGATAGGACATAAGAACCTGCCGACGCCTGAGTCTCAACTAGATTTGTATTCGCCGAACGAGATGGTTATGAAGCTCCAGTGAAGTTGAAGTATTTGCAATGATGGATGATCACATTCCCAGAAGGCGACTTGCACCGTCATTGATATTTCCAGAAATGAAAAACTGGCTGTGAGGTGAATGGCTTTAATTTTTTTCAGTGCCAAAAACATTACATTTCAGTTACCACCACATCAAATTGCTTATTTTCAGACTGCATAAGAGCTCCAGAATTTATTTCATGGCATTTCGTTCTCGGATCGCTTTACTTTCTAAGATGCACCAGTTCAAATGCTTCAAATTAAAAAACAAACAGACTAGGCTAATGAGGTCAGCTCAACCAACGAAGAAGTACCAGAAACAGTCTCTCATAGTCAATGTTTTTTAGATTCGGGATGTCTAAGCTAATGAATCGGCGGAGAATCAGATGGCAGGCATCCAGCAAAGACTCAAACAGCTTTCGAATCACTACAGTTGCCAAAGGAAGAATTATTAATAAGAGTTGATGCGCCTCCGTGTTGAAATGATTGACTTCTGATGCTGTCCGCAACCTGAAAACCTGCTGAAGTCGAATGACGGATTGATTGTCGTCGTTACCAACTTGGACTCCATTAAATTGCTCTTGACCACTTTAAACAGCTCCAAAAGATCTCTAGAACGCTCTAAATGCTCCGGATTCACCTTAGAAGATTCAGGTAAGCCAGACGATTCTCCAATAAGTTTATTTCTCATTCTTTCAGAACCACTACCAAACGTCATGAAAGAGCGAGTTATTGGAAGAGATTTACAGCAAGTGGAGGACACTTTGGGAAAGCTGCCAGAGGATTCGATTTAGACGGAAAGTGGAAAAACGCGACGGGCTGAAAGCGAGAAGCATCGCGTGGCAAGAAAATCCAGTGGTGCATGGAACTTTTCAGAATATTCTAGATGCTTGGCGTTGAGCAAAAGATCCAGAAGACCCAGAGATTGTTGTTCCAGCTCCGAAAGATCAAAAATCCCTCCCTGAACTTTCAATAAATGCTAACCAGGATGGTATGATGGACTGCGATTCAAAAGGATTTTTTCTTCAATTATTCGCAGCAAAATAGTGGGAATCTGAAATTGATTCTGAATCTTCAAGAGCTTCAAAGCCTTTTTATGACTCCAGAAGCTCCACAAATGATTGAAAATGCTTGCTCCAGCCATGAGCACCCAGTCAAAAGATTGTAATGTAAGTTCACTTAATATTGTCAATTCATTTCAAAAGATACTATTTTTCAGACACAGCCTAAGAAATAAATCGTCTGGAGATTATAAGGACAACGGTTGCTCCCGGTTAAAGTGAATAGTGAGGCACCTCCAAGATTTTTGCTGCTTAGAACAACAGAAATGTTTCTGCCACAATCTCAAGTGATTCCGATGTAGTTGCTTCCTTCTGTGGTCCATTCGAGGAGAAAAAGCAACGCCGCGAAGGTTGTCAACACTTCAGGAATTCTAATTCACTCTACAAGTCAGGCTGTATATCAAGGAGGAGATGATCGAGTAGACGAGAATCGCCGTACCTGAACCAAAGCGTAGCCTTCTAAGTGAGCCTTTATCTTCATTCTAGAAGACAGCTGGTAATCTGATTGGAATGCTATTTGTTTCAAATGTGAAAAACCACTTCATGGTTTAGGTTCCTGAAAACTTCCTGAAATTTCGCAATGTGATTCACAACTATAATTCTAAAAGATTCATATTTTTCAAAAATACTAACATTCGAAAACGAAAGAGAGAAATTTCAAAATTTAGGTAGTTTGCTCGATGGTAGCCAAGGCTGGTTCGGAATTGGGATCTTGGTATCCTTCGTGCCAAAGACTCCATAGCCAAATAGACGATCATGGGCCCTTGATGTTCGGTTTTCCTTTCCGTCCATTTTTTTACTTAAGGGAAAACGACGGTTACCTGAAAATATGATTTTTTTTTTTAAATTGAAAATTCGTCATGTAGAATTTTGAACTGATCAAAAATGAATCGCAAACGACTGATAGGAACTTTTACTATAAGTAAGATTGAATTTCGCGAGTTTCTTAATTTTCTCATTTTGAGTCGAAATTTAAAAAAAACCAGAATTCTCACCTCATTCGAACTTCTAAGCAATAAATAGTGGAATAAGTAGGGGTTAAATGATAGAATATTCAGGAAAAATAAAAGGAAGATTTCCAGAATCCTTTCATTTTAGGATTCTTTGGAAATCTTCCGAAAGGCCGGTGGAAAATCACGTACCAGCCATTATAAACACAGTGTGCATGGAATAAGAAGTCAGCAAGGGTGATGGAGAGAGAGAGAGAGAGAGAGAGAGTGTGTGTGTGTGTGTGTGTGTGTGTGTGTGTGATGGCGGAGACGCAGCAAGATGGAAAATCGATACTGTGTTGTTTTCTGTCACTGTGGTTCATCCAAACGCGCGCGCGCAAGATGGTCCCATCTCTGTGTTTCTTCCCCTCCTTCGGTCAGCATCCGATCTGACCCCAAACTGTTGCTCAGTTGTTCTCGTCGACAGACAATCGCCACATGTATTCTCCCTCTCCCGTTAATCATTCGATCTTGTTAGCTCCGGTCCGTCTGGTTACCTTTTTCTGCTCTCTTCGTTTGTGGTCCGCAGTGTCCATCGTTCGCAATTCAGGCTTTCTTCGATAATTAAGCAAAACACCAGAATTCGAAAACACACGAAAAAGCAGAATCCTCTTCGTCTCATCAATGATATCATACGGAAGATGTTCTACTTACCACATGTTTTATGCTGGCTCGACAAGGAAACCTTCTAGTAAGATAAGCTATTCGACAGATTGGAGAATTTTCATTGAAGTAGAGAATTTCAGTTACAACAAGGCGGTCGCATTGGAATATATGGATTTGTCCAACTCTATGTCGCAACTGGATTAATATCCACCTACCAACATGATCATGAAGCTCCAGTAGAGATGGAAAAAAGCCGATGATGGGAACGACATGCTTCTTCTATCACCTAGATCTTCTCTCATGATGACCAAGATAATATAAAATACTCGCCCCGCTCAAGATTGAACAGGATTTGTGAATTTGATTCAAGAATAATGTAATGAATCGACATCGATTGCAGTTGAGTCAAAATGGTGTTCTGCTGGAACGACCCGAGACGCCTTTATCAAGTGTTGAGCTGGAAACCTCTGCATTCGACATTTGGGAAACACTGAAAAACCGACTTTAACTGAAAGTTGAAGTGCTACTGACGGTGCTATGAGACATTCTCCAAACTATGGATCATTAAGCGCAGGGGTAGAAGGTATGTTGTTTCTTCGACAAGACAAATATTTGCTAAATTGCGCCCCACTGGGAGTTGGTTGGTAGGGTGTTTCTCTGGCTAGTGTTAGTCTTGGTCCACAGCCGTGACTTCTGCTGTTGTTTAGGCTACCCAAAACTTTTGAGATGTTTTTGACAAAGATAAAAATAACAGGTTCATATACTGGAAAACTAATTACAATTTGAGAATTAAAGCACAAATTTAAAATTTAAAAATTACTAGACTGGAGTCATGAGAAAAATATCTCCGAGATGTTCCTTTTGTTGACGAATTCTGAAAATAGGACTTTGATTATTTCTAGTTTATTTTAATGCTAAGAACTGATCTTAAACCTAGGCATAGGCAGCCTTGAGAATCACTAGGCTTAAAATTCAGTCTACATATCTACGATCCGAAGGCACCACTCACAATCAAGCTCCGTCATCATCTTGACTCTTTTACTGTATCTTTATTCCTCTCCTTCTTCCATTTCCGGTGCATTCCGTTCCGTCTTCTTTCAATTTTGCGGTCCAGACCGCGCATCTTCAACTCCAATTACTTCTTGATGGCATCCGCGAACAGTTTGTTGGATCCTACTAATTCCAATCACAGTTCATTCTGGAGCATTCCAAGCTTGATGTTTCGATATCGCTCTTCAGACGTTCCTTCTGCTCTTCCAACTTTTTCTTCTCAGTAGCTCCCACTGCACACTTGTTTTCGGTCATACCTGTTCCATTTTTAGTTCGAAGTCTCCCCTTTCTTGCTCTTTCTTAGTTCTCCTGGAACAACTCATCCAATTTATCTCCTTTCCAAATTGACTGAAGCTTCTCCAATTTTTTCTTTGAAGTGAAACCTGAAAAAGTATATATTTTTAGCTAGAATGAGAAACGATTGATTCGCAAACGGATGAATTCGTTCTGGTATAACTCCAGTTGTGTCTAATTTTTAGTTGAAATTGAAGTACCTGACTCACCTCACTCGACTTTTTTTCGTAATAAATAGTTGGATAAGTAGTGGTTAAATAGTAGGATATTGACAAAAATCAATAGGAAGATTTCCAGAATCCATTCATTTTTATGATTTTATCTGGAAATCTTCCCGAAAGGCCGGTGGAATATCAGGTACCAGCCATTTCAGAGCGTATAATGTGGAATGCCAAAAAAGCGATCAGTTTATGTTGTTGGAGACGCAGACAGAGAGAGCAAGCGATGACGGGGAAGCTGGTGGGCGGGGCGATGTGAAAAATCAATATCAAGCCTGCTGCTATCAGTTATCTTATTTCGCAATAGGGGCAGAAACAATACCAAGTATGCTTCTTCCAAGTATCTTGTTTCGAAGTATTTGTGTTTCTGGAAAAAGAGAGACAAACCTGAGAAGGAAAAGAAGGAAGATACTCTAATAACCCCAGTAGCATTCGATGCCTGGACAGCAAGCACTGTATTTTCGAATTTCAGAGACAAAAGACACTGTCGTATCAAAAAGGATAACTTTTTACGTTTTTAGGTTCCTGAAATCATCCTGAAATTTTTTTTTATGTGTTTCACAGTAATAATTATAACAGGTTCATTTTTTCAAAAAAAAATTACAACTCAAAGAATGAGACGCTTACAATTAAAGACAATTTTAAAAATTAGAATCTTATCACTCCTCGAGCGCTTTTGCGAAGGTTTCCGATTGGAATATTGTATGTATCCTGAAATTATCAGTTTGATTATTTGTAGTTGATTGTTTTCAAGATTCATAGAACTAATCAAAAATACCTTTAACTTCTCCAGATTGTTCCTCCTCTGTCATCGGGATAACTTTCCCAAACTGCGACTCCATGAAGTCTTGCACTTCTTTGGGAAGGGTCATATTAGCTACAGTAATCCAAAACATCAGCCATGTCTTCGTACTCATCTGATCCTTCATCATGGTCATCTTGTGGATCGTAGAAGTCATTTGTTTGGCGTCCGATGACTCTTCCTCCTTGGCTTATGGCAATTTGCTGAAATAGAATTCGTCGATCCAGTCTAGTTGAGGCTCCTCGAACATATAATACTCACCTGTGCCATGAAGTTAAGTAGGAATAGATAAAATAATTTCTAGAAAAATCAAAAAAGAATTTCGGACATCCATTAAGTAGGTTGCCTCGAAAGTTCCTGAATTTAGACGTCTATCCAGTTAAGTCGTCATGGGGAGCTAAAACTGAAGCCCGAAACACATCAGACCTCAGTCGTCGCTAGATAGAATGGTATATGAGTGGCGCCAAAAATTTAAATAGCCTTATGAAGAGATGAGGAGACGCAGAGCAAGAGTGATGAGTCAGTGATGCAAATGGTAGGGAAAAGACTAGAGATTTAGTTTCAAATGCAAAACAAGAGAGACACAGAGTGTGCTGTCGCGTGTGGTTTTTTCGTCATTTGATATTATGGCCGAGAATTCTCAACTTACCCAATTTAGGCCACCATTTCAATATTATCTAGAAGATGAAACATGTGAATTTTAGACTATTCCAAGGCCGAAAAGGTTGGTGGCCTAGAAAACGCAACTTGCGAAGGGTTAAGTCACCATATTAAAATTTTTGAAAAACGGCCTGACAATGAGATATTTACTGGAGAATAGGCATTTTGACATGGTCGCCTTATTTCAGCAAGTTGAGTTTTTCAGGCTTTCATGGTAAATGACCTATAAGTAGCATAAAATTCATTTGGTTTTTCAAGCCATTGGTGACCTGGAATTTTCACTGGAGAAAGTTATGCCACCAAAGCAAATGGCCTAGAAAACCCATCTTGCGAATGTTAGGCTTTCTTGGTGCTCTCTCTCTCTCTCTCTCTCTCTCTCTCTCTCTCTCTCTCTTTCTCTCTCTCTCTCTCTCTTTCTCTCCCTCTCCTTTTCTCACTTGCTCCATTTCTTAAAATTCTAAAAATCCCGAAATTTTTGATATGTGATTCACAAAAATAAACTCAAAAAGTTCATACATTCAAAAATGAAAAAAAAGAGATTCGAAAATGAAAAAGAGAAAAAATTGTTGGCGACGTTGAGCGCTCAATCTTTCTTTTCTGGATCGTTCCGCAGCAGCCTTTTTCTCATTTTTCGAACATTCCAGAATTCCATACAGTCCTCATCTTTGATAAACTCAAGCTTCATTAAAATCGTTCTCCTTTGCTCATTTTTGCCTTTCCAATTGATCATCATCCTCGTCGATTCCTGAGAATCCATCAGCTTGTTTTGGAGTTGGTTCTGGCTCCGATCATCTGAAGCTGGGAAAAGAAGAAGACGTCGGAATATTCGGTCTTGTTGATGGCACCAAACGGTTTGAGGAGGAAGATGAGGGAAGCTTTTTGTCTCGCTGACAACATACTCGATGAAGCACTTCTTTTAACAACGACTTTGTCCGGGAGATCATTTCTAGTAGCTTCTCCGTCTTCAGCTATCTTCGTTTTCTTTTCTAGAAAAAAAAATCAATCCAGACATTTTCCGATCCGAACTTTAGAGATTTTTAATTCAAATGATTAGACTTTAAACTCCTTCCCCTTTTCGTTTATCTCTAACAAGTGCTTAAGCCAGATCAAAGACCCTCAATTTATAATCAGTAAATTTGGTCCGTTTTTTGTTTCATTTTTCTGTCTAACTTGAAAAACATCACATTTTTTGAATTTCTTTGTGATGAGAAGTAGGTTAGTTAATAAAATAATCAGAAAAATCAAAGGAATATGTACAAAAATAGGCCAAAAAAATCAGGTATCAGCCATTTGAGTGCGAATGATTTGAAATATCAAAACGTCTTGCACTATTTTCATGGTTGTAGACGCAAACAGAGAGCCGCAGCGATGAAGAGGGAATCGGTGGGCGCGGCTAATTGAAAATCAATAATAGGCTTTCTTCTACCTCCACAAGTGTGCAAATGACAGAGATAGTCATAGGAAAAGAGCCGCTCATCTGCGGACAACCTCCTGTTGATGGGTCGGTGTGTCTCTCGTCGGCTGCCATTCTTTCGCAGAGATTTGACCCCGACAACTCGTACAGAGGACGTAACGGGCCATAGTAGTGTGCAATCGCTCTTGCTCTACCTCTCCGTGATTCTAACTTACACGTGCGCATTATGGTCCTTTCGGTCATTCTCTCTCACTATCCTCTTCCCGTTTTCATTTGATCCCGTTTTCTTCATGCCGTCTGGTGATCTTTCTTCTGTTTCCGTTATTTGTGGTTCGTGGTTTCCATTTTTCCCAGTTCAGACTTTCATTGAGATTTATTTGAACACCAAAATTCAAAACATCGTTTGGCTCCTGTTACTGACCTAATGTATTTTTCCTAATTAGTTCTCCAAACTTTTTTCCCAATAAACCCTAATAAACACGGCCTTTTTGGTTTTTCAGCTATTATCAAAGAAATCAAAAGACTGTCACAAAGATGTTCGGAGAATGCTAAGCTAATTGGAAAATATTCGTCTTCATGCCAGCGAATCATCCTCCATCATGTGGATTAACGCTTTTGGGTGAAATAATGAGGCGATGAGAACCACCGTGCCAGAATAAGATTGCAGAATTTCAAGGTATTTTTATCAGAGAAACGATTTGATTCAATCATCCATAATTTTGCAGGAGGGTACATTCTTAATCAAGTTATCAATAAACACGTGCAAGCTGAAGAATTTTGACTATCAAAAGATTTCAATTGTCTCTGAAGAAAACAATGGCTCTACTCTACAAATCTCATTGAGCTTCCCAGGTACAATTCTCATTACAGAAAACGAAAACTTTGATTTTAATTTCATGAGCAGCTTCATGAGCAAATTGGGGATTGGAAACATATACAGGGTGTGCCAAAATTATTGCAACACATTCAAGTGCTGTAACTTCTCTGAAAATACTCGAATAGACTTGAAAATTTGGCAATAGTTTACTGAATACTTTCTAAAAATGACATTATCAAAGTTGTTTGATGCGGTTGCTTTTGATCATCACTACATCTATGAGTTTCTTCGGAAACCCGTCTACTGTGGCACGGAGGTGTTTTGGGGATAACTGCGCCCGTCCTGGGTCCAAACTTTTCCCCAATGACTCCAAATTAGAATGTGGACGTGTTGGGACCCTCGACTGAAAAATTACATATGCGGAATTGTCAACCAAAATCATGTCTGGCGACATGGGTGACCATCCGCAAGTCGTACCGAATCTTGAAAATTTGACCGCGCTCTCTGGTTGAACGGTGTTTGGCTTGTGAGTGAGACCAAAACACCGTAGAACAGTCCAAACATGGTTTCCAGAATAGTATTTTGTCCACGGAAGAACATACCTCTAAAAAGTTTCCTCCTATTAGTACTTTTTGCTGAATTTCACCCAAAATCTACAAAAAATCGAATTCGGAGGTTTTAACCAAAAACCATGACGTACTATGGATATGAAGCTCGGTTGGCCATCCTACCGTGATTATTAGCTAGCTCAGATCTCGGGCAAAAAACTCGATGGTTTCATCCTCATGTGTTAATTTTGGTGCGTGCCAGCAAATGTCGATTTTCACTTCTGGATGCGTACCAAATTTTTATTTCTCGACCGAGTTTTCGTCTTTTGGACATGAAACGTGGTTAGCCCGAGCACTCTTTTGACGATTGTACTGACTGACTTACTGCTCATTTGGAGCTCCAGGCTCAGTTTTTCATTATTCGGTGCGAATTTCGACAAACTCATTCTCTGAAAGCCTTGTTTCTCTTCAGAGCAATAAAAGTTTGAGATCTGACGTTTTTAGACAGTTCTTGGTCGTATTCATCTGTTAGAAACATTCGATGGCTGTCCACTAGGTTGTTCGTTTGATTCCGAGAGCTTTTCCGATGCTGCTTAGGCCCACCCCTCTCTTGCCCACCTCGACGAGGGTGCATAGGTGTATAGAAATAGTCACCATTCGTGTAAAAGTCAGCCTAAAGACTTGAAAATTTGAGAATAAGGTGATCAAGACATGCTGAAAATAATACGTACAAAATAATTGGTCTAAAAATTCTACAGGGATCACCAGACCCCACTAAACTTTGGTTGCAATGATATTGGCGCACCCTGTAAAAGCTGATTGGTGATTCCAACGGCGTAAAACCGAGTGGGCTATATAGTCCAATGGTAGCTGATAGAGGTTTTGAAATGCTCTAATGCTTTTGTGTTAGGTGTTAAAAGATCACTTTCGAAAACAGATTCTACAGTATCCCGTAGTTCCTTTTTTGCATAATGGTCATAAAAACTACGATTTGTCGCTTTTTAATAGCCATTTTTCCATCCCCTCACTTTTATTATGGCCTCATAACGGGCGAGCCCCGTACCACTCCGCGCCTAACCTTCCCTCTTCTCTGTCTCCTCTTCTGATGGCACAGTCCCTCCGCGCTCCACCTCGCCAACGCATAAAACAGCGCGGCTCCTCCCCGCCGGACTGTCGCATATAAGGCCCGCACCTTACACCTCACACTCATGTCTTTTTTCTTTTCGTTTCCCCCTTTTTGTCCTTCTTTCTCTCTTCCCCCCTCTGATGGTACAGTCTCTCCGGGCTCCCCATCGCTACCCCATAACATGACACGGCTCCTCCTCCTGACCTCAGTGTCGCAACTAGGGTACGCATTGTCAGGAATATCAGCAAGTTATATAGTTTTCCCGCCTTTAGACTTACCGTCCTTCCAATTTTCAAGATTCTTATTTCAAGATTTTTGGATTCACAAGTGTTAGGATCTCTCTCTCTCTCTTTCTCTCTCTCTCTCTCTCCATTCAGAAAATTTTCCTTGTTTTCAGCACAACTCAAAATGAGCAACTACAACGACGAATACGATCGTTGTGGAGGAGGTGGAGATCGTGGTGGCTACAGGGACAACTACAACGATCGTAACGACAACAGGAACAATCCACGTGGTGGTAACGACTACAGATACGATGGTGGCTACAACGACAATACGACAAGACGTAACGACTACCAAAACGGAAACAATGATCGGTACCGAGGTGGCGGCCAGGACAACTGCTTCTACAGCGATCGTGGATGCGGTCGTGGAGAATCCGACGCTCGTGGCGTCTATGAGCGAGAATATCTTCAATCTCTTCACAATATCGTCCCCCAATTGGACCGAATGAACTTGAACAACATGAACCTACAATACGGCTACCGCGCTCCGCAGCGATGCACTGCCGGAACGTCCAACCCAGGAGAGCTTTCCGGTGGCGCCGATCATCCGAGAATGCCAGTTGCCAAGAAAGACTTGGCCCACAACCAGCAGACGTTCTACGAGCGCCCGGACACTTCGATATACGAGAATCCACGTTGCGGGAAGAACACCGAGCTTCTGACTAACCATGCACTAGTTCACTTGCCAACCACATCAATTATTCTTTATGAATACAACATTGATGTCTTCAAGGGACGAAAGAAGTTGGAAAAGAGGGAAGAAGCTGGACCAATGTTTTGGGAAATTCTACAAACGGTCCCCAACCACATCTTTCCACCAGCCAGGGATTTTATCTACAACGATGCGAATTTGATTTGGTCAACTAAGAAACTTCCAAGTCACGAGAACGAAGTCAGAGGTCGGAATAGAAACTGGTTCTACTATAAGTACACTCGCTGCGTTGAGCTGAACTCTGAGCTGGCTACGAATGGTCAGGATAGTCAACTGATTTCGACACTGGTGGATGCGATTGCTACGGCGAGAGTCAGATGGCCAAAGTGAGTTTATCTAACTTTGAGCTCATATATCACGGTTCCTGTAAAATATATTCATAAGTTGTCAACTGATAAGATGTTGCTGATATTATGACAAACATTTTATTAGTTGACAAATTTTTAGTATCTCTTATAAAAATTGAAATATATAAGCTTAAAGTTCACGGCTTTCTATTAGAGTATGGACGGTAAATCGAAATTCTCTATTTTCAGGCAAACCGGAAACAAGTTCTCTGTCTTCAAGAAATCCATCTTTCTACTCCAAGGCCGGCTGGACAAAGGAGCGTTCGCCGACGCTCCAGTCTTTGTAAAGCATCGTAATGGAGTCGACGCCCGCATCGGATTCTCAGTGGCGATCAAACTTAATCTCAGAATTGGGATTACTGCTTGCTTCGATGGTAAGTTCCCTACCAGGAAGTTAACTTTGAGCCCAGATATCTCATTTACTGTAACATATATCGAAAAATAGTCAACTGATAAAATGTTGTTGGTTTTATGACAAGCATTTTATTAATTGACAAATTTTTGATATCTTAAACAGGAACCGAGATAATTTCGCTCAAAGTTAAAAGTCAAAAACTATCGTATATGATCTAATAAAACCTCAACCTACACACGCACTTTAAGCTCAGTTATCTCTATTTCTGTAAGAGATAGCAGAAAGTGATCAACTGATAAAATGTTGCTGATATCATGATATACAATTTTTTAGTTAACCATTTTTCAACATCTTCTACAAAAAATGAAGTACATAATCCTAAAGTTAACGTTTCCGATGGCGTTCCATTTGAATGGTTACCGTGTCAATATGAATACGGTATTCTGAATTCATCAACCATCCAAATTTTCAGTCTCCCACACGCTGTTCACTCGTCCTGGCTATCCACTGGTCCGTCTTTTCTGGGAACTCATTTATGGAGAAACTCTTGAAAACGATCAGATCCTTGATGGAGAATGGGATTCGGACATGCAGAGGGCAACACCGACAGAGAGCAATATCCAACTGATGTCGAGCGTGCTTGAGAAGATGACGCTGATTTTCTCCCCTGAGGATGGCATTACATTTGACAAGGAGGGAAAGTGCCATCAGACCGATTTGAGAAGATTGAAGTCCAGAGGCCGCGAGTTCAAATTCTATCAATTCGGGCCAAATTCAACTTTTGAGTTTTTCGATGAGAGAGCTAGACGCGAGATTTCAGTCGCTGAATATTTTCTGGCTGCCTACAACTACCGTATTCGCTATCCAAATCTTCCATGCCTCCAGAAAAAGCCATCCAAAATGAATCCACACCGTCTTGTGCTCTATCCAATGGAGCTTGTCAGCTTGCTAGTTGATCCGATTCGTTATACGGGAGCCGTCACGGAGAAGCTGAAGGGGGATCTCATCAAATACACGACTCTCTCCGCCGATCACCGTCGTCTCGTTCTTCGGCATGTGATTGGTCAGAAGGCAATCGGAGACTGCCCACAAATCGTGGACAACGAGGATCGCTACATGCAGAATCATGGAATCCGAATTGGAAAGGAGATGCTCAGCGTCAAAGCGTGCCTTCTTCCAGCTCCTGAAGTCGTTTATGGAAACACGACGTTCATGGATACGGAGAATCGAGGAGAGTGGAAAGCTTTGACTAATGATCCGATCCGTACTGTCCTGGAGGACGCTGTCTACATGAGGAATCGGAATCGAAACGCGCCGAAGCTCAAGAAGCGTTTGTTAGGATCCATCTTGAAGATCGGCTCTCCTATGAACTCAACAGGATTCGAGATAGACGAGTAAGACTTGAAATTTTTTGAGGCTTTAACATTTCTAGACACAAGAAATCCTTGAAAATCGCTTGAAATTGGTCAGAAAACCAAGAAACTATTAAAAATGAAATTTTTCAAAAAAAAAAACTGCACCAAATGGCTTAGCGGGTTTTGGGCACCAAAATTTACGGTCCACAACTCCAAAGTTTGATTCCTTCTGAGTTCAAAATTTTGAGGAACTCAGAAATGATAGTTTTAGGCACGCTTAAATTGTTGAAAAGAGAATTTTTGAGAATTCGACAAAGAACACAAAAAAATCTTTTTGTTTGAATCTCAAAAATTATAGCTTTAGGCTAATTCAAATTGTAGAAATAGCTTCGGGACATTAAGAAATTTTAATTTCCAGCTCCGGTTATCACCATCTGATGCGTGCCATTCACGAGGCCGGACAACCGGTCTGCTGGCAGATTCCAGAGCTCGGCCAAGCGGCAATCCAAGGAAGTACGGAATACCTCCAGGGTAGAGACTTGCCTGGAACGATCTTGGATTGGTTCATCAGTCTCAAAAAGAATCTTGACGAGTACAAGCAAAGCGAGGATGAGGTGATCGTTCCACTGGTATTCGTGATTTTTGAAGTGCGATTCACCACGTTGAATCTTGAACGCCAGGATTTCCAGAACGATTACAGTGAGTTGTTTTATTTACAGTAGTTTTTTTTCTGTTGGTTTTTGGCAATTGTGAGCGTATTCTAGAGTCTAGAGCTTGACTTGACCGTGTCCGAGCTATTTGAAAATGTTGCTCCAGACTCTTGAGAAGAGTTCCAAACCTTGGCCAAAAAACAACTAAAAAATACATTTTTGTGGTTCTTTTCCCATCTCTCCAACTAACTGTATTTTCAGATCTCTTTAAGTTTTTTGCGGACAACGAAGTTGGCATATTTACACAAGGAATGCTGAAAAAAAACCTTCAATAATATTGGATCAACGCCAGTCACTTGCAAGTTCACTAGCCAAATCGTGGAAAAGATATTGGGGAAAGTGGGCACAACCCATCGTCGTCTTGAGAGAAATGGAGACCACAAGTCATGGAAGAAACTTACAGCTGAACCGACTCTTCTTCTCGGCGTCGACGTCTCGCATCCATCGACTAGGGATTTGAAGGGAGAGGATCATGTCAAACGCTTGTCGATTGCCACCGTTGTCGGAAATATTGATCTGGACTGCACCGAATATCGCGCATCGTCGAAGATTCAAGATGTTGGCGAGGAGAGAATCGTTCGATTCGAGAACGAAATTCTGGAACGAATCTGCAATTTTGTGCAATTCACCGGCAAGCGTCCGGCCCACATTGTCATCTATAGAGACGGTCTTTCGGAGGGAGATTTCCAAAGAACACTGTACGAGGAGAAGAGGAGTGTGGAAACGGCGTGTCGTTCGATTGCTGCAGACTTCAACCCCACACTAACCTACATTGTTGTCACCAAACGTCACCATACCAGATTTTTCCTGAAAAATGAGGAGGAAGGATTGGCAGAACAAGGATTTAATGTCCGGCCGGGAACCTTGGTGGAAGATACGGTGACCACTAAAAACTACTATGATTTCTTCCTAACCACTCAAGTTGGACAAATCGGACTCGCTCGACTAACCCACTACTACGTGCTACATAACGATTGGAAGGTGCCGGCAACCTTCTGGCCGACTGTGACCCATGCTCTCACCTACTTGTTCTGCCGATCAACCAGTACTGTGAATTTTCCAGCTCCTGTCCTCTATGCTCATCTCGCGGCGAAGAAAGCCAAAGAAACGATGGATGGAGCGTTATATGCCAATGCGTGAGTTGGAAAATTTTTGAATGGCAAGATTATAACTTTTTTTCAGCCTCCTCGGAAAGATCCTGGACACCTCTTCATTCGCGGACCTTGCCCAACTGGAACGATGCATCAAGAACCACGAGGAGCTGGATGGCATGACATTTGTCTGATTGCTCATAGCTACTAACCAAAACTTTTCTCACAGTTTTATTTCAAAATATTTTTAAACTTTGCACCACCCGGCTTCATATACCCTTGACACCACTTTTTTCCTTCAAATTCAAAGTTGATCCTAATTTTAATCTATAAATTTACAAGTTGTTGTTAATTTGAATTTCAAAAAATTTTGGTTGTTAATCCGACCAATTCATATTGAATTTTGATCTCGGATTATTGCCCAAGGATCCAAAAAGCGAAAAAAGAAAACTTCGGCTCTCTTGATGTTCCGCTGTTTTCCGTTTTGCTCTGTACCGAATTTTTATCAAGTCGCACGTGCTGCGCAGCCAATTTGATTCAAAAATGAAAGTTTCGCGTCATATTTCATAGAGCGCATTTGCTCAAAACCCAACAGTTTGCGAGGCCGTGGACGCGCACTGTATAAATGAATATACACGCAGACACAGAGGGTAGGCGATGAAGGGATGGTTGGTGGGCGCCGGGAGGTGAAAATCGATAACAGGTCGTCTTCTGCCTCCACCCGTGTGCAAAGATAGTCTAATAGTAAGGAAAAGAGTTCCTCATCTACGGACCACCGCCTGTTGTTCGGTTGGTCTGTCTGTCGTCGGCAGACGTTCTGACTCAGAGATGACCCCTAGAACTTGAATCGAGGGCGTAACAGACCTCGGCAATGTGCTCTCGCTCTCCCCCTCCGTGATTCCAACTTACACACGCGTGTTATGGTCCCTCCACCTTTTTCTCACTGTCTCGCCGGTTTCCACCTTCTCTCCCTGTCGGATATCATTTGCCTCGTACAGTCTGGTGACCTCTCTTCTGCTCTCTTCGTTTGTGGTTTCGCGGTGTCTATTATTTCGCAATTCAGGTTTTCTTTGAAATCTATTTTGAACTCGTTGAAATACCAGAATTCGAAAACATCGTTTGGCTCCTGTTACTGACCCAATGTTATACACATCTGGGAGGAACAGTCGAGCACGTCGTATTTCATCAATAGAATTTAAAAATTGTCAATTAGTCCTCAAAATCTTCACTTGATTAACAGTTAAAAACCCAAATTTGTTTGAAAAATCCAAAAATCAATCTGAGAAGGTAAGTGAGCTCAAAGGTCTAGTTTTATTCACGAAGTCTTTTCTATCGATTGGTTCGGACACGATTTGTTTGAATGCTCAAAGCGTTTGTGTGGATTATGACATCACGAGGAAGTAATGTCGATGCTCTAGCACATTTCAATATGAAGTAAGACATTTTAAATATCGGAAAAATTTAACTAAATAAGAAATTTTCAGCTACTTCACAACAAGACGGTTGCATTGGATGGTTAGGATGCGTTCGGACCTTCAACTGAATGACGTCGGACCACGAAGAGAGCGCAAAGTCTGCTTTTTGTGTTTCTACAGCGCTGAAAATGTGAGTTTCATTCATTCCGATTTTTGACCAGCAATACGATGATTTTCAGAGCAGCCGTCGCTCGAGTGCACCACAACAACCAAAAGAAGGATGGAGAGAAGCCTGCCGTCTCTCTTGCTCACCGAAAAAGCTCACTCCCGCTACCTGGAATTCCAACTACTGTTTTGTGTACAGCGAACGTCGTGACTAAAGCCGGCTGCAATATCCGAGATGGTTTAGTGTTTGCCACTGACGACTTCGCCGCCGAGAAACGTTCTGGAACGGCGCAAAAACTATACCTCGTACGAGATGCTGGATTTGATGTTCCGCTTAAATCATCAAGAGGTAAGCTTTGATTTATTTTAACTATCTCGACACACATTTCACAGATGGGCTGGGGTCTTTTTTGAATTCAAAGTCACATAGTGGTGAACATAATTGTTTTTCAGACTGTGCCCAAGGCTCGTCGGAAGCCAATGATCGTTCAGATGTCCACTGCGAACAGGAAGAAGATATCCTTTTCTCCTCGAAGAATGTTCAGCAGCAGATCAAGGAGAAGCACAACCAGGTCGATATGATTACAAGGATGAAGAATCACATCATCGAGGTCATGAAAATTGTTCCAAATGGATCTCTGACCTGTCAATGGAATCATTCTGAACATTGGAAACCCAACGATGGACTTCATATGCTGGATGCTGGAGGAGAAGGTCAATTTCCTGCGAATTTCAAGGTATTCTTATCAGTGAAATCGGCGTTGTTCAATCATTCACAATTTTGTAGAAGGGACTGCTGACCCGCTTTTGGAGGATGTAGAAGTTATCTCTTTTGAACTTCCGTGCTCAACTCGAGGAGAATAAAATCTTCACAAAGGTTGTCGACTCTAAAGGATTCTCAGTTCCATCTGAGAGCCATCCTTGCTGTTGGGGATGAGATGATTGTGTCGATGAGAACTGCCGTTCCAGAACCAAAGCCCAGATATTTTAAGTGAGTTTTCACTTCCCATTCAGAAAACAACGCATAATCCGTTTTAGCTGTCTAATGGGTGTTGACCGGTAGGTGTGTGTCCCCCACTAGTATATGTCTTTAGCCAGGGATTTGACTTCTTCTGTTAACAAAGCCTTTGTTGTTTAGGTTCTCTAAAAATCCCTGAAACTTTTGATTTGCGTTCAAAAAAAAATAAATACAACAAGTTCATATTTTCAAAAACTAATTACAATTTGAGAATTCAAGCACAAATAAAGCATTTAAAAATTATCAGGCTGTGCTCTTCCAGGCAATTTTCCCAAGACGTTTTCTCTCGTTCACGAATTCTGAAATTATGAACTTGATTAATTCTAGTTAGCTCTAGATAGTCAGGTCAGAACTATGCCAAGAACTGGTCTTAAACCTAGTTATAGGTAGTCTTGAGAATCACTAGGCTTATAATTCAGTCTACTTATGTATATTCCGAAGGCGCCAGTCACAATAATCTTTTTAAGAGCTTCATCATTTTTTAGTTTCATCTTTTCATTATTTTCTTACCTTTCTCCAATTTTTGGTACATTCCGTTCCGTCTTCTTTTAATTTCGCCGTCGACATCGAGAATCTCTCCCTCAACTTTCATCTTCTCGATTCCTCGAACGCCATAATTTCTTCCGCACACTTCTGTTCCTTTAAGGATTCGAAATCTTCTATGTGCTGCTTGTTTGGCTTCTTCCATCTTCCTTGTGCTTCCTTGGCCAAATCCTTCGCCAAATCCTCCAACTTTTCTTCCTTTCTCCAGTTCCTTCACTAGAAAGTTGAGGCGAAAACTGAAAATTGATTTTGTCCAGTATTTGTCTAAAATTAAAAAAAATCTCGAAATTTGATAAATTCCGTCTCGAAAATTGATAAATTTGATTTAGAATAAGACACTATCAAAGTTATGACTTAAGCTTTAACCAACTTTCAGTCAAAATTGAAAAAAAATCAATACTCACCTTATTCGGCTTCTTTCGCAACAAATAGTTGAATAAATAGTGGATAATTAATATAATATTTAGAAAAAATCAAAGGAAGATTTCCAGAATCCATTCATAATCAGGATTTTATCTGGAAACCTTCCAAGAGGCAGGAAAAAATCAGATACCCGCCATTTCAATGCATTTGATGTGGAATGCCGGGAAAACAGTTGGTTATATAGTTGGAGACGCAGACGGAGAGAAAGAGAGTGGAAAGGCTGCTGGTGGGCGGGGCGGTGTGAAAAATCAATATCAAGCCTGCTTCTACCAGCCATCTTATTTTGAATACGAACACATAGGGGGCAGAGACAATAACAAGCCTGCTTCCAACAATCTTATTTCGAAATACTTGTGTTTCTGGAAAAAAGAGAGACAAGGCTGAGAAGGAAAAAAGGGAAAAGGTTCTAATCGGCCAAGTAGTTTTTGATGATAAGACTGCAAGAAGTGTGTTTTCGATATTCAGGCAAAGAGGCAGAAGACACTTGCGTATCACGAAACTGTACGCCTTTTTAGGTTTTTGAAACCATCCTGAAAATTTTGTTGTGTTAAAATTACACAGTTACAATTATAACGTTCATATTTTCCAAAACAAAATAGAAAAAATGATACACTGAAAATTATGGACAAAACATTTAATTATAAATTTCAATCGTATGACTCCTCGTGCGCAGTCTGTGGATGGATTCTGAAATTATGTTTGATTATTTGTAATTAGTTTTTTTTTCTGTAAGGCCGAAAACTGGTTCTCTTATGCTCATACAAGCCATATACACACTACTCTAGAGAAACACTGACCTCCTTGGCCGATGACATTTTGCTGGGATTGCTCAGCAAATACTGGAGCTATGAATCCTTCAATCGTTCGGCCGACTCCTTCCTTGACTTTCCTTTTCTGTCTCTTTTCGTCGATCTTCTCAATTTTCCAAAATTGTTATCTTGTTTCACTTCAAGTGCTTGAAAATCTCCTTCGTCGTTCTTCTCGTTCTTCTGGAAGCTTCTCAATTCCGCTCTATTTCCTTCGTGTGGGTTCTCATTGAATGGCAGTTAAAGCGAAAGCTGAAAATTACATTTTTAAGTTCATTTTTACTGAAAATGAAAGAAAGAAACCGCAAATTTTTGTTATTAGGATAAGACGATATCTATTAACAATAGTTGATTGAGACGGTTTTTGGTCAGATTACTGTAAAATTTGGGAAAAATGAACTACTCACCTCTTCCAAATTTCATTAAGATGGAAAATTAGTAGCCAAAGAATAGATAGAAGATAGAATAATTTTTAGAAAAATTTAAAAAAAAAACTTTCGGACTTCCATTCAGTAGGATGTCCAAAAAGTACCTGAATAGTTAGACGTCTTTCTAGTTAAGTCGTCATTTTGAGCTAAAACTAAGGACCAATAAACATCAGACCTCAGTCGTCGCTAAATAGAATGGTTATGAATGGCGCCAGACATCAAACCAGCGCAGAGAAGAGGAGACGAAAAAAAAGAGTGATGAGTCATGTTGCAAATTTCTAGAAAAACAACTAAAGATACAGTTTTGAATAGAGAAAAAGAGAGACGCAGAGTGAGTTGTCGTGTGTGTCTGTTTCTTGCTATTCATCATGAGAGTCTAGAAATCTTAATTGTCAAAAGTTAGGCCACCATGTACACAAGTCAATGTTTTGGCAAATGTTAGGCAAATGTTTCAAAGAAGCAATCGATGTCGGGTCGAGAACTAATGATTAAGCATGCTGAAATGGCTGCAAAGTTCGGAAATCTGCCAGAGTTGCCTCAGAATGTTCAAGATATGGGAGTTATTGAATTCTATAATCTGGACATTTTATCTTTATTTTTATCACTTACTGTAGCGTTTTTATATCTTTTATGGAGGTATGTCTCCAACTGTGTTGTCTCCAAATCAAAATTAGAATAAATATTTTATTATTATGAAGATGTGAAAAAAGGCGGACGAGGAAGTTTTAATCAATATTTTGATAGAAGACAAGTCAGAAAAGTTTTTCATATTTATTTGTGCCGAAAACAGTGCGCATGAACCTTCCTTTACTGCCTCGAGCCGTCTTGAGAGGGATTAGCTTTCCATCATTCACCTCTTTTTTTCTTTTGAGAACTTCCAATCTATAAACGAGATTTTGATTTTGCAAGTTAACGGATAAAACTAACTCAGCGCATTTGAACTCTAAAAATTTTCTAGCATTCGTTCATCTTTTCGAGTTCATGGAAGGTCGGACGGTGCTCTGGAATGAGAGACCAGCATCCCAGCATAATATCTTTCCATTTTGAATCAAACGGATGTTGGTCAACTGGAAGCCGTTTTCCGACAAATGCCTAAACCAAAAATTGAACTCCTGCATCAGATAATTATTTGCTTACACTTTGTGCAACATCAATTGCAGTCCTGTTCTTGGCATGATATTCTCCTGTGATTCTCCTCCTTGGCTGATGACAATCTGATGGAATTGCTTAGCAGATACTGGAGCTATATCCTTTAATTGTTTGGTCGATTGCTTCCTCCACCTTCTTTGAAGAGAAAGCTGAAAATTACCTTTTTTTAAATTTTATACTGAAAATGGAAAAAAAAGTTGCAAATTTGGTTACTAGGATAAAGCTATATCTATTCACAATAGTCGATTGAGACGGTGTCTTGGTCAACTCACTGTAAAATTTGGGAAAAATGCAATGCTCACCTTTTTTTTAATACACTTTGAGATGAGAAATAAATAGCCAAATAAATAATGAAATAATTTTTAGAAAAATCAAAACAGAAACTTTACGACTCCCATTCAGTAGGATGTCCGAAAAGTTCCTGAATAGTTAGACGTCTTTTCAGTGAAGTCGTCATAGGAAGCTACTGAAGCATGAAATACATGCGACCTCAGCCGTCGCTAAATAGAATGGTCATGAGTGGCGCCAGACATTGAACGAATGCAGAGAAGAGGAGATGCAGAGAAAGAGTGATGAGTCATGATGCAAATTTCAAGAAAAACAACCAGAGATACGGTTTCGAATGGAAAAACATGAGAGACGCAGAGAAAGAGTGATGAGTCAGCAATGCAAAAATCTAGGGAAACAACCAGAGTTACAGTTTTAAATAGAAAAAAGAGAGATGCAGATTGCGCTGTCTTGTCCGTCTGTTTCTTGCAATTCACTACAGGGGTCTAGAAATTTCAATTAGCAATAAGTTAGGCCAACATGTGGAAATTGCCTAGAAAACAGAAAAGAGGAATATTAGACTATTTCTAGGTCTAAAAAATTGTTTGCCTGGAAAACTCAACTTGCGAATGTTAGGCCATCATGCTAAAATGCCTTAAAAACGACCTAAAATGTTTTCTAGAGAATATGAAGCTCAACATGGCGGAATGATTTTAACAAATTAAGTTTTCTAGGCCACCGTGTTTAACTTACTTTGAAAATCGACCAGTTGAAGTGTAGTTCATTTCTAGACCAAAAGGTTGGTGGCCTAGAAAACTCATTTGGCGAGACTTTCGTTTTCTTTCTCTCTCTCTTTCTCTCTCTCTCTCTCTCTCTCTCTCTCTCTCTCTCTCTCTCTCTTCTTTTAGCTTGCTCAGAATTTGAAGATCCTGATTTTTTTGAAGCGCATTTCACAGAAAAAAAAAATTAAAAGTTCATATATTCAAAAATATAAATTTGAGAAATCGAAAATGAAACAAAAAACATTTCGACGGCGAAGACGAGAAGGATTATCTTCTTATTCTGGAATCTTCCGTTGCATCGTTTTTCTTCTTTTTCGAACATTCCAGAATTCCATACAGTTGTTCCATACATTGTTCCAATTCAGTTGTTCCAATTCCATACATAGAGTTGAGCTTCTGCTTTTTTTCTGAAAAAAAAATTATGGATAAATTTTCAGATTAGAAACTTGGAGAATTTTCAAAGAATTTTAATTCAAATGAATAGATTTGAATACCTTCTTTTTCATCTTCATCTCTAAGAAATACTAGAGTAAAATCAAAGATTCTCGATTCTCAATCAGTATATTGGCTTTGTTTTTAGGTCAATATCCTGTCAAACTTGATACACATAGAAAACTCACCATTTTCAAATTCATTTCGTAATAATCAGCGGGTTAGATAATAAAATAATCAGAAAAATCAAGGGTGTTGGACATCTCCGAGAGGCCGAAAGAATCAGGTATCAGCCATTTGTTTGAATATGATGTGGATTCTCAAAAAAAAATCTAGCACTATAGATATAAATGGCCGGAGACGCAGACAGAAAGGGCGCCGCGATGAGAAAATCGATAACAGTCCCGCAACACGTGAGAGAAAGAGAGAGACCGAGGCGGGATAATTCAAATTCAAAACTGTTTTGTCTTCTGTTACACTGTGGTTCTAGGGTTCTACCTGCGCAATGTGGTCCCGTCCCAGTGTTTCTCTCCCCTATTGATCTGACCACTGACTGTTGATCAGTTGGTGTGTCTCTTAGAGATTTGACCCCGAGAATTCATATCGACGGTGTAACAAACCTAGGCAATGTGCATTCGATCTTGCTCTCCCCCTCCGTAATTCCATCTTACGCGTGCGTATCATGATCCCTCCCTCTTTTTCTCACTCTCTCGCCGGTCTCCTCCTTCTCTCCCTGTCAGATATCATTTGTCCCGTACCGTCTGGTGACCTCCTTTTTTTGCTCTCTTCGTTTGTGGTTTCGCGGTATTGTAATTGTAAAATTGTGCCAGGAGGAGAATGATATTGATTCGATCGCTTGTTCTGACAAGGGAAGTGTTTTCAGAGGGGCGTTGAGAATTTTCTAAAAATTTCAGTACTGATAGTTTAAGATATCCGTAACACGATGACGAAAAAATCTAGTTCATAGTATCATCAACAAGCTGAAAATCTTCGTCTGAAAATTTTTATACCGATTTCGCCCCCTCCCTCACTCCACTACGCCCCTCTCTCCTATACGCACTCCGCGCCAGAGGAAAATATCGGTTGTGTGGTGTTGTGGCAAGAGGGAGACTCATTAGGAGTGACTATGGTGGTTCGAACCCCACTGTGGTAAATCTTTTTTTTTTGTTTTTTTCGAGACGAATTTTCGATATCCATTTTGGTCCCCTGAATAACATATTATACTTATTTAATGAATTCCCGACGTTTTCAAAGTGAAAAAGAAGGCGTTTGAAATTTTGAAGAAATTTTGAAATATTGTTTTTTCGACTTGTCCTATCGCCCAAAAACAAAACTTTCGACTCTCGGAATTGCTCCGTCTTGCTCTTTTTTGAGTGGAACACTACCAAATCGATCACCCAAATGATCTTTACATATTTCTGTGTATTCTGTGCGATTTTGTGCAATATTTGAGAAATTACAGTTTTTCAAATTTCTTGCAATTATCAGATTTTGGGAATTATTAGGGCTCACAGACGAAATTGAGCTGCCAAATTCTATGAAAATGATGTTTCTATCATTTCTGAATGTTTGAAAGACTTTTTTGCGCTTTCAAAAAAATTTCTCAAAAAATCACTTTTAAAGTGTGGGGTACCCCATGAGATGATAGAGAAATGATCAAAAAAGAGTTTCCCGCTTGAAAAAATCCTGAAAAAAAGAGTTTTAAAGCTCGAAAAATGCACGTTTTGGGTCAAAATTTAGTACTGAAAACACTTTGAGAGCCCATATTTTTGTTACTATTAGGGTTATGACCGAGATATTGCTGAAATCGTATTCAGCATGTTCGAAAGTACTTTTGTACAAATTTTGATCTAATTCTCAACGCCCCTCTGAAAACACTTCCCTTGTGAGAAATAGACAATTCCGAATGACGCATAGAGTATGAGTCAAAGCAGCCAGACGCAGTAGAACAATATAACGGATGAAATGATGAAATTGAACTAGGGTTTTTTTTGTCTCTTCGAGTCATTGATTTATAAAACCTATCGGAAATGGCAGACAAAGGGAATCTAGGCAGATGTGATAAGAAGAAAACTGAGACGTAGCGCGACAAAGTCAGATCTAATATGATAGATGTAGAGAAGCACAGCAAGCTTGGTGGGGGGGGGGGGGGGGCGAGACCTTCAAGAATATGCTGAAAAGTGCCAAAATAAGAGAGACTGTGTTTGAAGGAGCGGGTTCATAGGAATAGTTTAGGAGAATTGAATTTCCCTCTGAACTTAGAAAATCTCAGAACTTCTTGAAATCGAAAGTTTGGAATTTAGAATGGCACAATGAAAATTTCTAATTTTACAGAACACTGAATTTCAGAATTCCTTACTTCCAAATTTGCAAGTTTTCGAATTAACAATTATTTCAAAATTGAAAAATAGAACCCCACCTTCTAATTGAAGCTCACCTGAAAAATAGAAGCCCACGGGCTTTTATTAAAGGGAATGCGGTAAAAAGTCATCCAGAGAATCAAATGACGGTCTCAGAATTCAAAGCGATAGTCATAGGAATTCAAATCTGCTCTCTCTCTCTCTCTCACTCATTTTCTTTCTGTGTGCAAATTCTGGTTAAAACAAATCCATGAAAATTTTTATTTAAGCATAACATTTATTTTACAAATCTCCGATACAGAACAATTAGTTTTCTCTCTTGCTTTTCTGCGCATACGCTTTTCTTGCTTCTTCTCGGAGCACACATTTTTCGGTCTGCAATTTTGAAATGATTAGGGCCAAAGAGGGCCAAAGATATCTTTATAAGAGAAAGCTAATACTTTCAAATACTTTCTTCAAGTTCAACTAGTATTTCGATGAATTGATTCCAGTTGTGATGAATTGAAAACTAGGGATCCTATCTATTTCTCCCCGTTCTAGTTTTTTTACTCACAGTGTATCATGCTGTTTTTGCTGCCGATTGGGTCCTCATTTCGACCAGTGGAGAGTAGCTTCTCATTCATCATCCAACTATTTCATTCATTTTCTGAAAACATGGAAGTATTTTGAGTAAATTTCGAAAAAAAATTTAACTGTAAAAACAATTGTGTAAATTTAAGATTTATTCTTTTTTCAAGAATTGAATTATCTCACCATTTTGAAGATTTCATAGTTGCAATCGGACTTCTTTCTCCAATAATATGCATAGTTGCATTCTGATGAATTTTTTTTGGCGTCTGCAAAATGGAGGATAAAATTTTTAATTTTGAAAAAAAACTCGCCTATTTGTAAAAATCAGAAAAATAATATAACTTTTCAACTTCCATTCATTTTAAAAAATTCGCTGAAAAATTATAGGAATACAGAGAATATGAGAATCAGGAAAATCAAAAAAAAGATCAGAAGACTGCCGAAATTCAGATGGCTGTCATTGTTGAGGGGAAAAGTGAAGCAGCGGAGGAAGGAGACCAGTAGGAAGAAGATGAAAAGAGATTTTAGAGAAAGAGAGGAAAACTGAGACGTGGCGCGACTGAGGTTTTTTTAAACTGATAGACGTAGAGAAGAACTGCAAACGGGGAACCGAGGCGGCGCCGAACACATATGCCGAGGGATGAAAGAAGACAGATTGAAAAGGGTGGGGGAGAGAAAAAACAGCGACAATGTGGACCAGAGAAGAAGAGAGACGTAACTTTAAAAAAAATACTTCAGGTGTTTGTAGTGTAGAGCAGTTCAAAAAGACAATATATCTTTGTTGACTGGCCAGACAAAATAGAAGGATCCAGATGTTGCAAAAGAATAGAACAAGCAATGAACCCAATGCGACAGAAAAATGTTGAATTTTAGGCTCTCTTCTTCTCTTAGGAGTGTGAAGTTATCTTCTTGATGACCAGATTGGTGGGAAAACGGTTTATTGAGTCTCGACGTTTCGGCCTGTCGCCATCATCAGAAGAATGCTTTCATTACCTAAAGAATAAAAAAATTTTTATCAATTCCGTTCAATTCTCACTTTCATTTTTTATTCTTTAGTTAATTAAGACATTCACCTAATGATGGTGACAAGGCCACAGTTGATTTTTCGGTGGCGGCCAAACTTTCCCGTAAAATCCCAAAACTGGACAGACTGACGTCGGGACCAACAGACACGACTAGCGTTTTATATATAAGGAAGATGAAGTTTACAAATCAACATTTTATTTCAAGAAAATTATAAATTCAAAAATTAATCGGATTCGGATGTACTGGATTAGAGTCTGGAACGCTGAACTCATCTTCAACTTTCAACATCCAGTCCGAAGCTTCAATGATGCCATTGAATGGGTTATTCTCGCAATATTCATTGGTTCAATGTGTTCTGCAACTCTAAATTATTGATCTATCATCTTGCTATTCGTTGTGAACTGGAAATTTTCAAATCAGAAACAAGTAGATTAATCATTGAAGGTTTTTTGGAGCTATAATTTTTTCAACTCACCTTCCAATTCGTCTTATGCTAGTTCGAATATTAGGAAAATAGATAGTCTTTCAAAATCCACGCAGTTGTAGGATTCGTTTTAAAATGTTGATATAACAAATCTGTAGATTCTTAGAAAAATAATAAGAACTTTCCGAGTCCGTTCATTTGAATAACTTAACAGAAAGTCCCCCGGAAATTTGAGGCTGCCATTCAGAAAGCTGCCATTTGAAAATTATGAAATTGAATTTTGCAAACGACCAAGGTCTTGTGTGCTGAACAGCAGACAACGAGAGTATCAAAAGAAAATGATAGACACAAAAAGTCGAAGTGAATATGACTGTGACGTAGCGCGATGTAAGCAATTTTTAAATGATAGAAGTAGAGAAAATCGGGAAATTATGATATGAATTTCGAAGTTCTGTTATTCTGAAATTTAAGTTTGAATTTTGAAGCTCTGAGCTCCTGAAACTCTGAAATACGGAAATTTATCCAAGAACAATGTTCCAGATCATCTCCTCGACGTTCGTTCCACCCAGACGGTCATCATTGAGCACAAAATTTCTAAAATATTGTCAATAAGGTGAGAATTCGATATACAAAATGCTGTTTCAAAACTTAAAACTTTTCCAGAGGAACATGAAGCACGGCGGGGGACTGAACTACTTATAAACTAAGCAGAAGGTGAGTCTTTATTAAAATTTTCTGAAATTCGGAAAGTCTGAAACCTAAACTTCTAAAATTTTGAATATCTGAAAACTGAAACTCTGAAAATCTGAGAATCTAAAGTTCTGAAATCTTGAAACCCCGAAATCCTAAAATTCTGAAATCACAAATTCCGGAAGTCGGAAAGTTCTGTAGCTTCGAAGCTCAGAAATTTTGAAATTCTGAAATTTTGAAATCCTGAAGTGTTGAAATCCCGAGATACTGAAAACCCGAGATTCTGAAATCGGAAAATATCAACTCCCAAAGTTCTGAAACTGATTTTCTGAAATTCTGAAATTCTGTGATTCTCAAACTCTGGAATTCTCAAATTCAAAAGTTCTGATGTTTTGAAACTTTCAAATTCTGAAATTCTGAAATTCTGATATTCTGAGATTTTGAAATTCTGAAATTCTGTAATTCTGAAATCCTGAAGTGTTGAAATCCCGAGATACTGAAAACCCGAAATTCTGGAATAGGAAAATATCAAATCACAAAGTTCTAAAACTAATTTTCAGAAATTCAGAAATTCTGAACTTCTCATAATCAGAAATTCTAAAAGTCTTTGATGCTGAAATTTTGAAATTCTGTGAATTTTAAAATTCCGAAGTACTGATGTTTTGACATTACGAAATTCTGAAATCCTGATGTTCATAGGTTTTGAGATTCTAAGAATTCGATATTTTGGAATTCAGAAACTTTCAAATTCTGGAGTTCTAACAGTCTCTAATTTTGAAATTCTTTCACACTCAAATCCGGGAACTAAAATTCTGAAGTTCTGAAGTTTTGGTGTTATGAAAATCAGAACTTCTGATAATCAGAAGTTTCAAAAGTTTCTAACTCTGAAACTTTCGAATTCTGTAATTCTCATACTCGGAAGGTCTAAAATTCTGAAGCTCTGATGTTTTGAAATTTCGAAATTTTGAAATTCCCATGTTCATGTATAAGGGGTACGAATTGATGGTACAAATTCTCAAATTCGGGGGTACAGAAATAAAAATTTATTCGAAATGTAGAATAATCAGAAAATAATGAAAAGAGAAGCCATCTCTGTATATTACTATATCAGCTGGTAGGATTCCATTAAATTGTACGGATTCTCCAATTCGCTTGTTGATTCGTTCTTCGAATCTGACGATTCTCTCTTTTGTGACGTCTTGAAGCTTCAATGAGGCTCGGTATTCCGTGCAGTCGAAGTCGATATTTCCGACTACTGTAGCCATAGAGAGATGTTTCACTGGATCCGCTCCTTTGAGATCTCGAGCACTGAGATGAGACACATCGACGCCAAGCAGCAAGGTTGGTTCCGCTGGATTGACGAGCTTCTTCCAGGACTTGTGATCCCCATCTCGCTCCAAACGACGACGTTCCCGAGAATCTTCTCGACGAGCTGGCAGGTGTACTTAAAGGTGACTGGGGTGTGTCCGACGGAGCAACCTCATTATCGGCCATCCATTTAAACCTATCTGAAAAAAAGAATATTGAATTTTGGAATGTGAAATTTGGAGTTATTAGAATTTTGAGAATTCTTAAAATTTGAGAGACTTTTCAAATTCTTAAGCTTTGAAATTTTGAAATTCTGACATTCTGTAATTTGGAAAATCTGAAGTTCTGAGTTTTCGAAATTCTAATATTGAAATTTCTGAGTAACCAGAAAACTTAAAAACACTCACCAATAATTCAAATATTTAAAAAAATAAAGAATACTCAGAAAAATCAAAAAGGAACATTCCGAAATCCATGCAGAAGGCTTTCTGGAAAGAACCGAATAATAGTGAATAACTAGATTTTCAGAAAAATAAGGGGAACTTTCCGAGCCCATTCATATTCAGGGCTATACGAAAAGTCCCCCGGAAAATTTTGGCCGTTATTCAGTCAAGCGGCCTGAAGAAGAAAGTGAAGATGATTCCGTCGGAGAAAGCAAGTCGTATGCTCTCACCGACAGACGCGAGAGTATCGAGAGAAATATTCAGGGGAAGTGAGAGGCGCGAGACATCGACGTGGCGCTGCAAAAGCTGAACAAAAGATGATAGGCGTAGAGAACAACTGCAAACTGGGTGCCCCGGGGCCTCGCCGGACGCAGAAACTGCAATAAATAAGAAGAAAAATGGGAAAAAGATGCTAAAAGCCAGAGAAACGACCAGAGGTTCGGTGCAAAATGAAAAGTGACTAGAGACGCAGAGTGCCGCGGAATTCTAATCGTAGCTTTAAATTTTAGTGTTTGACCTACAAAAGATGGTGAGCAAGATATTCAAACGGCAGTCTAGAAATTCAAATCGTTGCCTAGAACTTCACATCGGGTCCTAGGGATTCTAATCGTGGCGTAGGAGACCGAAAGCTCGACTAGTGAGATCTAGGAATTTGAATGGTGGCCTCGAAACTCAAGTCATAGGGATGAAAGTCGTGATTTCTCTCTTTCTTTCTCTCTTTCTCTCTCTCTCTCTCTCTCTCTCTCTCTCTCTCTCCCATTCTTCCTTTTTACATAACTCTCTTTTTGCGGTAACTCTGAAAATTTTGATATTTGCCGTACAGTGAAAACAATAAAAGTTTTATTTGAAAAAAATATTATTTAAAAAATCCTTTGGCTCTTTTGCACGTCTTCCCTTTCTTGGCTCCTCAACCATCTCATGGACTGTCATGGAACCAGGCATTGTCTGGGGATTCCGAGTCGCTCGTATTCCTAAATTTTTGAAATATTAGGTTTTATAATTTAGAGTCCGAAATTTTTTTCCGGACCGAATTCGTTTTTTTAAATCCAACCAGGACTTTGAAAATTATGTTTGACAATACTTAGAATAATTTCTAAAGAACTAGCTAGCTTCTTTATTTTTTGAAAATTTGTATTTTTCAAATTTTGTAACTTAAAAGAAAACCCGTACTCTTCTCATTCAGGCTCGACTTATTCTTTGGGGATTCTCCTCTGGAGTTTTGTCCATTGAATTCATTGAACCTTTTGTTGATTCATCCGTTCGATGCTTCCATCTTCTTGAAGTTGGTAGAGCTTCAGTGCTAGCTCAAAACGGAAGCAATGTTGACTAAATTTGAGAAATTGACAAAAAAAACTCACCGAATGTTATTCAGAAAAATCAATAGGATTTTTTAAAAATACATCCAGTTGTAAGATTTCTTTCTGAAAGGTTCAGATAGTGAATAAATAGATCTTCAAAAAAAATAAGGGGAACTTTCCGAGTTCATTCATGTATAAAACTTAACAGAAAGCTCCCCGGAAAATTAGGGCTGCCATTCAGTAAGCTGCCTTCTGGAGAGAATGAAATTGAATTTCGCGAACGACCAAGGTCGCGTGTTCTGAGAAGCAGATGACAAGAGTATCAAGGATAACTGATAGACGCAGGAAGTAGAAGCGGATATGACTCATAGACTATGACGTTTCGCAATAAAAGCATGTGAGAAACGTAGCGAATGTAATATGAAAATTCTTGAAATGATGAAATTGCGAAATCGTGAAATTTTAGTATTACGAAATTTCAAAATTCTGATATTCTAATCAAAAAATATGAAATTCTGCCTTTCATTCAAAAACAAAATTTTAGGTAAAATCCCCGATGTTCTTCGCAACCAGAAGGTGTTGGTCCCTACCACCAATAAACGCTTTAATTCCTCCTGAAAATCGTCAAAAAGGTGGGAATTCGGAAAACAAAAATCAATTTGAAAGATTAAATAATTCCAGAACAACATAAAGCTCAATGGTTTACTGAACTACAGACGAACTGAACAGCAGGTCAGTCATAATAAAAATTTTCTGAAATTCTAAAATTCCAAAATCTTGAAATCCTAAAATTCTGAAAACCTTAGAAACTCACAAACTCTTAAACACGGCAATTTTGGAATTCTACAATTTTGAAACTCTCAATTTATTCAACTCGGAAGTTTTGAAGTTCTGTTGTTATGAAATTCTGAACTTCTGATAATCAGAAATTCTGAATGTTTCTAATTCTGAAATCTCGGAATCCGGAAACTCTGTAACTGTGAAACTCACATATTCTAAAACTCTCAAATTCCGAATTTCTAAAATTCTGAAATTCTGAAACTCTGAAAATTCTAGAATTCTGATGTTTTCTGATAATCAAGATATCTGAAATTTTGTGGTTTTAAAATTCTGAAATTTTGTGATTCTGAAACTTTGTAATTCTGAACTTCTCATAATCAGAAAGTCTGAAAGTCTTTGATGCTGAAACTCTGAAATTCTCTAATTTTTATGCTCTGAAGGTCTAAAATTCTGGAGTTCTGATGTTTGGAAATTTTGCAGTTCTAAAATCCCGATGTTCATGAGTTCTAAGATCCTAAAAATTCGAGATTTTGGAATTCTGAAATTTTCAAATTCTGGAGTTTTTATTTTGCGATTTGTAGCTGAAAATTAGATGTTCTTGTTTTGAACCATCCCTTGTTTTTATTTTGGTCGCTATAGCAACTCTGAGGTACAAGGGGGTACGAAGCGATGATACAAAATCTTGAATTCGTGGGTACAGAAATAAAAATTTATTCAAAATTTGGAATAATCAAAACATTATTGAAAGGACAGGTTACAACATCTTGGAACTTTAATTACGCTCGGTATTCTGTGCAGTCGAAGTCGATGTTTCCGAATACTGTAGCCACAGAGAGACGCTTCATTGGATCCTCTTCTATGAGATCTCGAGCACTTGAATGCGAGACATATACTCTTGCAGAATTGGATCCTCTTGGTTGACGAGCTTCTTCCAGGATTTGTGATCCCCATCTCGCTCCAAACGACGACGTTCCCGAGAATCTTCTCGACGAGGAGGCGGTTGTATTTACATGTGGCTGGGGTGTGTCAGATGGAAGCGAACCTCATTGTCTGCCATCCATTTTAACATATCTGAAAAAAAAGAACATCGAATTTTTAGAATTTTTCAGAATAGAACTTTTTGAATCATTAGAACTTTGAGAATTCTTAAAATTTGAGAGACTTTTCAAATTCTTAAGCTTTGAAATTTTGAAATTCTGACATCCTGTAATTTGAAGAATCCGAAGTTCTGAGTTTTCGAAATTCTAATATTGAAATTTCTGAGTAACCAGAAAACTTGAAAACACTCACCAATAATTCAAATATTAGAAAAATATAGAATACTCAGGAAAATCAAAAAGGAACATTCCGAAATCCACGCAGAAGGATTTCTGGAAAGAACCGAATAATAGTGAATAACTAGATTTTCAGAAAAATAAGGGGAACTTTCCGAGCCCATTCATATTCAGGGCTATACGGAAAGTACCCCGGAAATTTTGGCCGTTATTCAGTCAAGCGGCCTGAAGAAGAAAGTGAAGATGATTCCGTCGGAGAAAGCAAGTCGTATGCTCTCACCGACAGACGCGAGAGTATCGAGAGAAATATTCAGGGGAAGTGAGAGGCGCGAGACATCGACGTGGCGCTGCAAAAGCTGAACAAAAGATGATAGGCGTAGAGAACAACTGCAAACTGGGTGCCCCGGGGCCTCGCCGGACGCAGAAACTGCAATAAATAAGAAGAAAAATGGGAAAAAGATGCTAAAAGTCAGGGAAACGTCCAGAGGCTCGGTGTAAAATGAAAAGTGACTAGAAACACAAAGTGCCGCCTGCGTCCTCTTCTCTCTGGAAATTGCCGCGGAATTCTAATCGTAGTTTTGAAGTTTAGTGTGTAACCTACAAAAAATGGTGAAACCACACCACTATTCAACGCCCATGGTCTTCTAGTAAAAGAAATTAAACATTCCAGAATTTCCGGAACTGTGATTTTAGCACTTGGCAATTTCTCAATTTCAGAATTTGAGATTTTAGAACATTAGCATTTTCCCGGAATTTCAGAGCTCCTCCTGAAATCTCAGAACTTCATAAATTTGAAATTTTGGAATTTAGAATTGCAGAGTGAACATTTTGAAATTTCCAAAAAAAAAAAAAATTTCAGGATTCTTAACTTCCGAATTGCCAATTTTTTTATTGTTGAATAAAAAATCATTTGAATGAAAAGCATTGAAAATAGGAGCCCACCCCTCTAATTGAAACCCACCTGTAAAAAAGGCCTCTCTGAGAAAGATTTTTAAAAATTGAAGCCCATGGGCTTCTATCAGAGGAAATACGGTAAATCCAGAGAATTAAATGACGGCCTTAGAAGTCGAATTGTGGCCTAGGAGTTCACATTGGGTCTTATAGATTATAATTGCGGCGTAGGATGTTGAATGCTCCACGATTGAGACCTAGGGATTAGAATGGTGGCATTGAAACTGAAGTCATAGAAATTTAAGTCGAGATTTCTCTCTCTTTCTCTTTCTGATAACTCTGAAAAATTAGATATGTGCCGTAAAGTGAAAACCATAAAAGATTTATTTTTAAAAAATACACAAATTAAAATAATCCTTCGACACTTTCGCACGGCTTCTCTTCCTTGGCTTCTCCACCCATTTCGTGGACTCGTCTGAGAAACAAAACTTTTAAAAATTTTTTATTGTAATTTTTCGTTAAAATATTAGGGGAATACAAAGAATTTTTCAAACAATTTGATGCAAAATTTTTGGGCGGAGCCCCCTTTAAACAAAATTCAAAACGAAAAAAAAAACTCACTGGAATAGTGTTCCCAGTTCGTTTGAATAGGAGCGTTCTCCTTTGGACAGATGGGATCCTCATTGATCTCATACTGATAGTATCCTGTGGTATCCCCATTCCTCAGACCTCTCCATCGGCCATCATGACTCATCTTGACCGAATCGCCGTATTCCACACCGACAGCCACAATTTCATTATGGAACTTTCCGGACTTCTGCATGAGGGTTCTAGAGGCGTCCAAAAAGTTCTACACCGTCTCAGCTACAGCAAGCTGTGGTACATCTCGTCTGGATCGGCATGGTACTGGTACGCGATGGTTGTAGATTGGAAAAGTAGGATGGAAAAGTCGATATTCATATATCGGTCTTCCGTGAACTTTGTGAATGTATCTTCGGAGCTTATCCCGGCGAGTTCCAACATCCATGGGGTCCTTCTTCTTCATAAACAGGAGGAGAGGGGGGGGGGAGTAAATATTTAGAAAAATCAAAAAGGAACATTCCGAAATCCAAGCAGAAGGATTTCTGGGAAGAACCGAATAATAACGAATAAGATCTTTACAAAAATAAGGGGAACTTCCCGGACCCATTCATTAACAGGGATCGACGGCAAGTCCCCCGGAATATGAAGGCTGCAATTCAGAAAGCGGCCAAGAGGAAACAATGAATCGATTTACGCGATCGCTAATTGTGAGGGATAGAGAGTATCAGAGAAAACGAGGGACGCTAAGAGTTTGAGTAGAAGCAGCCAGATGCAGAGAAAAGAGAACGGGCGAGATGGAGAGAGGCTGATTTGTTTTTTTTGTCCTTCATTAGAAACAGTTATGCAGAATGAGAGACGCAGAGAATCTAGATGAGTGCGACTAGACGATCTCTGAGACGTGGCGCGACCAAAAAAAATTTGAAAATAATAGAGGCGAAGAAGAACTGCAAACTGAGATCCGATAGAAGGTGTTGGAAAGTGCTAAAACAAGGAAAACTGTATCTGAAGAACTGGGGTTCATAGGAATAGAACAGATTGGTATAATTAAACTTCTGAGAAGTTTGATGGTTAGAAGTCTTTAAGATCATTGCCGGTAAGCTCAAATTTTGAACAATGTGTCACCTAGAGATCCTGATATTTATCTGGGTGGCTTTTCAAGACGTTTCAATATGATAGCCTAAATTTTGCAATTAGAGTTTCTCTCTCCCTCTCTCTCTCTCTCTCTCTCTCTCTCTCTCTCTCTCTCTCTCTTTCTCTCTCTCCACACAATAAGACCTGAAAATTTTCTGAAAAAAAGTTTAAAAATCAAAATTTCATTCGAATGAAACGAATGAATTAGAGAAGATTGTTCTGGAGCATATGGTGCATCGGTGGAGCCAGCTTAGATTCATCCAGTCTGGAACTTCAGCGGTGCCATTGAATTCGGTATTCTCAGAGAATTCTTTGGTAGTCCTCCTGCATTTCTAAATTTTGAATATTTTAACATTAAATTGATTGAAAAGTGGACTTTTTCGTTTTTAGGCCAGAAACAGGTCAGTGAAGCCATAAAGGGTTTTTAGAGATATCATTTTCTTTTTCGATTCACCTTCTGTTTCGTCCTAAACCTCTTTTCTTGCTCCTATTTCTATTCCCCAACTTCTAGACACTCCTAGCTTTCCTCCTTCTCCTTCTCGCCTCTTCAGCAGGTGCACGGTTCGAGCAGATCTTCTGTGACGGATATCTGATTGGAATTCCTCCACTTTCAATTTGGCAGAGGATGGACCAACATTAGATTTCCATTTCTTGTGGGAATTAAGTTCTTCAGAAAAATATAAAAGCTTTCAAAATCCATTCAGTTTAGGATTTGTCTTTGAGAGATTCAGATAGCAAATAAGTAGATTTTCAGAAAAATAATGGGAACTTTCCAGTCTTTTGATTCAGGACTTATCGGAAAGTTCCCCGAAAAATTCAGGCTGCTATTCAGCCAGCTGCCATTTGAAGAAAATAAAATTGAAACTCGCGAACGACCACGGTCGCGTGTTCTGAATAGCAAACAACGAGAGTATCAAGTGAAAATGATAGACGCAGGAAGTAGAAGCGGATATGACTCATAGACTATGACGTGACGTGATGAAAACAGACGAGGAATGATAGACGTAGAGAAAAAACTGTAAATTAAAGACACCTGATTCTGTGAAATTGTGAAATCCTTAGATTTTGAAATTTAGAAATTTCGAAGTTCTGATGATCTCAAATCGAAAAATCTGAAATACTGAATTACTGAAACTTTAAAGTTCTGAAATTTGGAATATCTGAAATTCTACCCTTCATTTAAAAACAAAATTTCAGGTGATCTCCTCGATGTTTTTCGCAACCGGACGGTCACCAATGGGCGCGATATCTTCTGAAAATCGTCAAAAAGGCCAAAAAGGTGGAAATTCAAAAAACGAAAATCAGTTCCAAAATTATAATATTCCAGACCAACATGAAGCTCAATGATTTACTGAACTACCGACGAACTGAACAGCAGGTCAGTCATAATAATTTTTTTCTGAAATCAGGGAAGTCTGAAATCTATAATTCTGAGAATCTCAAACTCTAAAAACTGAAGTTCTGAATCTGTAACCCTGAAATCCTGAACTTCTGAAATCGGAAAGTTCTGTAACTTTTGAAATTCTGAAATTCTGAGATTCTAGAATTCCTTAAAACGGAAATTCTAAAATTCTGATGTTATGAAATTCAAAACTACTCACAGTTATAAATTCTTAAAAACTCAGACCCTGAACTTCTGATAATCAGGAGGTCTGAAAATCTCTAATTCGGAAATCCCGGAATTCAGAAACCCTGTAACTCTAAAATTCTCGAATCCTGATGTTATGAAATTCTAAAATTTTGATAATCAGAAATTCTGAAAGTCTCTGATTCTGGAATCCTGAAAATCTGAAAATCTAAAATTCTGGAATTCTGTAATTCTGAACTTCTCATAGCAATTCGGAGCTACAAGGGGGTACAAAGTGATGGTACAAGATCCTAAATTCGGGGGTACAGAAATAAAAATTCATTCAAAATGTAGAATAATCAAAAAAATATATTCGAAAGACAAGTCACGACATCTTCACACTTTAATGACGCTCGGTATTCGGTGCAGTTGAAATAGACGTTTCCGATTACGGTTGCCATAAAGAGACGTTTCACCGGATCCTCTCCTTTGAGATCTGGAGCACTTGGATGAGGGACATATACTCTTGCAGAATTGGTTCCTCTGGATTGACGAGCTTCTTCCAGGATTTGTGATCCCCATCTCGCTCCAAACGACGACGTTCCCGAGAATCTTCTTGACGATGAGCCTCGTGTATTTGCACGTGGCTGGGGTGTGTCCGATGGAAACGAACCTCGTTGTCTGCCATCCATTTGAACATATCGAAAAAAAGGAGCATTGAATATTTTGAATGTGAAATTTGAAGTCATTAGGATTTTGAGAATTCTTAAAAGTTGAGAAACTTTTTAAATTTTTGAGCTTCGAAATTTCGAAATTTTGACATCTTGTGATTTTTTTGAGAATCTGAGTTTCTCAAATTTCGAAATTCTAATATTGAAATTTCTGAGTAACCAGAAAACTTGAAAACACTCACCAATAATTCAAATATTAGAAAAATATAGAATACTCAGGAAAATCAAAAAGGAACATTCCGAAATCCATGCAGAAGGCTTTCTGGAAAGAACCGAATAATAGTGAATAACTAGATTTTCAGAAAAATAAGGGGAACTTTCCGAGCCCATTCATATTCAGGGCTATACGAAAAGTCCCCCGGAAAATTTTGGCCGTTATTCAGTCAAGCGGCCTGAAGAAGAAAGTGAAGATGATTCCGTCGGAGAAAGCAAGTCGTATGCTCTCACCGACAGACGCGAGAGTATCGAGAGAAATATTCAGGGGAAGTGAGAGGCGCGAGACATCGACGTGGCGCTGCAAAAGCTGAACAAAAGATGATAGGCGTAGAGAACAACTGCAAACTGGGTGCCCCGGGGCCTCGCCGGACGCAGAAACTGCAATAAATAAGAAGAAAAATGGGAAAAAGATGCTAAAAGCCAGAGAAACGACCAGAGGTTCGGTGCAAAATGAAAAGTGACTAGAGACGCAGAGTGCCGCCTGCGTCCTCTTCTCTCTGAAAATTGCCGCGGAATTCTAATCGTAGTTTTGAAGTTTTCGTAGTTTTCAGATTTTCAGAATTTTAGAATTTTTTCCGGAATTTCAGAGTTCCTGAATTTAGATTTAAAATTTTGGCATCCGAAATCTCAGAACTTCTTAAATTTGGAATTTTGAAAATTAGAATTGTAGAATGAAAATAAACTGCGACGTGGCGCGATAAAAGCATCTGGAATTGTGAAATCGTAAAATGTGGATATTATGAAATTTTGAAGTTCTGATGATCTCATATCTAAACCTAAGATGCTGAGTTTCTGAAATTCTGAAACTCTGCCTATCATTTAAAAATATAATTTTAGGTGATCTCTCCGATGTTCTTCGGCATCAGAAGGTCACCTATGAGCGCGATTTCTTCTGAAAATTGTCATAAAGGCAAGAATTCAAAAAAAAATTTAAAAATTAGGTGTAAAATTTTTCAGAGGAACATGAATAACAGTGAAATGGATTGCAACTCAGGGGAATGAACTGACCAGTAGGTGTTTTGAAACTTCGAAATTCTGGAATTCTGAAACTCCGAGAGAATCTCAGAATTTCAGAATCTCGGAATCTCAGAATCTCAGAAGCCCAAGAATTTCAGAGTCTCAAAATCTCAGAATCTCAGAATTTCAGAATATCCGAATCTCCAAATCTTAGAATCTCAAAATCGCAGAGGAAATTCTGAAATTCTGAGATTCTGAAATTCTGAGATTCTGAAATTCTGAGATTCTGAGATTCTGAGATTCTGAGATTCTGAGATTCTGAGATTCTGAGATTTTGAGATTCTGAGATTCTGAGATTCTGAGATTCTGAGATTCTGAGATTCCGAGTTTCTGAGATTCTGAGATTCTGAAGTTCTGAAATTCTGAAATTCTGAAATTCTGAAATTCTGAAATTCTGAAACTGAAATTCTGAGATTTTGAAATTCTGAAATTCTGAGATTCTGAGATTCTGAGATTCTGAGATTCCGAGATTCCGAGATTCTGAGATTCCGAGATTCTGAAATTCTGAGATTCGGAAATTCTTAAATTCTAAGATTAGGAGATTCTTGGGATTCTGAGATTCTGAAATTCTGAGATTGTGAAATTCTGAGATTCTGAGATTCTGAGATTCTGAGATTCTGAGATTCTGAGATTCTGAGATTCTAAGATTCTGAGATTCTGAGATTCTGAGATTCTGAGATTTTGAGATTCCGAGATTCCGAGTTTCTGAGATTCTGAGATTCTGAAGTTCTGAAATTCTGAAATTCTGAAATTCTGAAATTCTGAAATTCTGAGATTTTGAAATTCTGAAATTCTGAGATTCTGAGATTCTGAGATTCTGAGATTCCGAGATTCCGAGATTCTGAGATTCCGAGATTCTGAAATTCTGAGATTCGGAAATTCTTAAATTCTAAGATTAGGAGATTCTTGGGATTCTGAGATTCTGAAATTCTGAGATTGTGAAATTCTGAGATTCTGAGATTCTGAGATTCTGAGATTCTGAGATTCTGAGATTCTGAGATTCTAAGATTCTGAGATTCTGAGATTCTGAGATTCTGAGATTTTGAGATTCCGAGATTCCGAGTTTCTGAGATTCAGAGATTCTGAAATTCTGAGATTG